TAGAGCACCTGTAGTTAAAAGCCACAAAATGTGGGGGTTTTTAAAGCCACTTCAGGCTCGACCTAAACTTGCCGCTTGGTGGTAGCAGATATGTCACAAAACATGCCGGTCGGCGGTGGCGAATGCAATCAAGTACAGTGAATGAACATAATGCACATGCGTGAAACATATCACGTGAACAACTAAATATGTCACCTGATTCGGAATAAGTTGTCCGCATAACTTATATTCCACGAAAGTCAGCGTGATAGTTGCCCCGGCGTGTGCGTCGAGTCGCTGATCTTAATGATGAATCCGGTTCATTTCCTGGAGGGAATTTTACATTTTTATTTTCCCCAAAAGTACATTTTGTTCCCTAAATTGTGTTTAATCAACTAACGAAATTCTGCCTTTTTCTTCTCATTGGCCTCGAAGAACTTATTTTTTAAAGGGAGTTTAGCCTAAGTCCAAGAAGATTTTCCCAAGCCATCGTAAGTGCATGCCCCTCTCGCTGTTGTAAATGTGCCCCCTCGAAATGAAAACAAAAGTGCCCCTCAAACGCAAACATGAAAGCATTATGATCGTGCTTTATGTCTCCTCTCGAAGTGCCCCTCCAAACACAATATACCTATCTCGCAAAAATAAAATTATACCCCTCTCGAGATGGGAAACAATAGTGCTCCTCGCTCGCAATTACTTATCGAGATGGAAAACTGCCCCTCGAAAGCACAATTTATAGTGCTCCGCTAGCGCTCGCACCATTAAAACTGTACCCCTCGCAAGAGTTAATCTGGTTTATAAAAATATAATATTGCTAGGCTCCTCACACGAATAAAATGGTCACTGATCTGGCCATCAAAAGAATGAGTGCCCCTTTAACGATAAAAAATGGTCCTTTTGCATAGGCCTATAACTAGTCAATTTCAAGGGCGGACCCAGAAAGATTGTACTGCCGTGGGTGTGCCGGTGGCAGAAGGGCTCTCTCGACTAAAAAAATACCTTATTTGGGAAAAATACAGCTATATGGAGACTATTTCAGAAACGTTTTTGGCCTATGCACTGTAACTTTTTTTAAGTAAGGAATTTAAGATTTTTTAAAATTTTCACGCAAACATGAAAGAAAATAGTTTCGCAATTTTCTCCTCTTTCTCACAGACGGAAGGTGCCTTTTTTTCTGAGCAAGTGCCCCTTTTTGGTGATGCCCTCCCAGTTTGAAAAGCGTTCCGCCGAACTGGTGTCGGAGACCAATCTTCCTGCAGCATTGATCTTATTTCTGCGTTTTCACCGAATCTTCGCAACCTTTGACCAAGACACTTTTAAAAGGCTTCATATCAATTGGACAATCGGCGATTTGAAAAATAATTGGCAGGCCTACTTGACAGATGACAGCAAAGAGTAGGCCTAGATAATTGTATCCGCGTATACGTTCATTGCACAGTAGTCCTAAAGTTTACATGCGAACGGGACTCTTACCAAAGGTGAATGAAACACTGAGGAAGACGCCAAGTGATATCAACTGTGCATATGCGGGACGTCCATGGAGTCCAGTCCGCGTTAAGTGGTCGTAGCACGGCATCGCCATCTCAGTGGGGATTCCAAAGACTGCCGTTGTCTGAATCCAAGAACAAATGTAAAGCAATTAAGCCAGCATTGTTTTACATTATATAGCCACCCCATCCATGATACGTAAATGTGCCTAATGTAAGATATTCGCCTGCACACATTACAGCTGAAAGCAGTACCCACCTACTCCAAGCCTGCAAGTTGTTTTCGTCTCTTCGTCTCTTGCTCCACAAAGGAACAACAGCTTGTGAAAACCAAAACCATAATACTCAGTACAGCTAGCAGTAAACTGAAACTTCCCTAATAAGATAAGCAATCGGATTAATCCCTCCATGAAATCAGCTTCTAAAGGGCAAAGTACAGCACAATGCACTTGTTTGCTCCTGAGCATTATCACATTTCTCGGTGGTTTCCCTTTATGGTAAACTATTGTATTAACACACATCCCTTTGCAAATGTGAATTATACTTTTTTGTTTTCAAATGTTGCTGTTATCAAAACATATGTTATCGTTTTTCTTTAATGTAGGCCTATATTTTATTTATTCCTGGTTTTGTATTTTCTTCCTTGAATTTTCCCAACCTTCATGAACATCATTGTTTCATTTGAACGAAGGCTGTTGTGGCTTGTTAATCCTTCAAGTCTGACGATTCTTTGATTTTCCGTCGGCAGATACCACTAGTGACGTTTTGTAATCTTGTGCTCACACAGATAATTAACCTCTGCCGGTAGGTTCCGCAAGAAATATGGTGGCTTTTGCAAATAGACTTATATACATGTATTGGAGTATCGTTTTAAAGCCAACACGAAGCTATCGTTTTGGAGCCAACACGAAGCTATACATATATACAGGGTGAGTTAAAAAAAAAAAAAAAAAAGCGGAACCCAAACCTCAAAAAATATATTTCATATTTTAACAAATATGTCGCACCAACAAATAATAATGACTGGAAAAGCCAGGTTCATATTCTTTGAACGGATTGAGCAATTTCAATCTAAAAGTAGTTTATGAAATTGCCTTTCCAATCATTGTTATTTTGGGTGCTACATATTCTTTTTTATAATGAAATATATTTGTTGAGGTTTGGGTTCCGCTTTTTTTACTCACCCTGTACTTGTAGTGACGGTCATATTTGATGTGCTCTATTGGCGGTAAATAGGCCAACTTGAGGGGGGTTAAAATACATGAACATGTACCAGGCCGAACAAAATTGGCATTTCGTACTAAATTAATGAGAATGCCCCTTTTAGAAAAAAAAAACAGAAACCACAACTTACCAGAAACCATACAATGTTTACTGATTCTTAATACATGTACCTACCTGTTTGTACATCATTTCCAATCAATCGGGGTATCAACAAACATCACAACGAAATGTTATGTCATATCTTGCTGACGTCATGTTTGCTATGGCTGTACACACAGCGGCTCATGTAATGCCAAGCTAGCTAAGGTGATATGATATGAGACCTCCATGTTTTACAGCGTCATAAATTCCTATTATCACAATGTGCATACATTGCGCAGCGATATTCTTCCCACCGTATAGGCGTCGCCAGGATTTCTTCTAAAGGGGGGCAAAGTTTTCACCAGAAAGCAGCGAAGGGAGAAATCACCGGCTGTAGACAGCGGCGAACCCAGGGTTCTCATCCTAGAGGGGCGTGTTGGGGGGCCCGGGGGGAGCTTGAGACTACTAGGGGGGGGGGAGTCCAAAAATGTCATCCGTGGTGAAAGGTAGACATGTTTTTTTTCACCGGACACCCGCCCTCCGTAAAATCAAATAGGGGGGGGGGGGGGGGGGGGGACTGGACATCATCTTTTCATGGGGGCGCTCAAAACGTACTACATGTATATATTAGACAATAACTACCGCTATTAGCTTTCCAAGGTACTTTACTCGAGGAAAAAAAGGGTTTGGGTGCAAAAATACGCACACAATCGCGGAAAATAGGGACGTTATGTTCTTTCAGGCATAGGTAATCATGGTAACTCGGGTGCCTGTTCTTTTCTCAGGATTCCAAATCTTCAGTGGGGCGAGGGGGGGCGCGATTTCCCCCCCCCCCCCCCCGTAGCTACGCCGCTGGCTGAGGAAAAATCTAAAGGGAGGGGGTGATGGACATCACTCGATGCTTTGTTCAAGACCGTGATACCTAGGCCTATAGCCGCATTATATGCCCTTAAATCATTTATACAACATTGACTCCGGATCTCGTTTTTTCCTCTGTTTTTTGGGGGGGAAGAAGAATCCTTAATAAAATCCTGCATCCAGATCATGATCCGCATCACTTTCAAAATCTAATCGATTTGTACTTGTACCAAGGACCACCCCTAAATACAAAACTCATGTCCGTCACCTTTATCTTGTTAACAGACAAACCAACCAACCAACCGACCAACAACCAACCAACAAACAAAACAACGACGATGAAAACATGACCTCCTTTAGTCCAGGCAAAATAAGGTTTGACCTCACATAAATTGCAACGGATTTTTTCACAACAATGCATTTCGATAAGGTCCCCAGAATGACGTTCTAAAAGTCAAGGAAAAATAAAATTGTGAAGTACAATCCCCAAAATGTACTTCTCAAAAATAACAAAATAAATTTTAAAATATAGCCAAATATGGGCACAAATATATTACACGGCAGTTATTAACGATTTATGCAAATTGGGTATAATTATTTCCACCACTTGGATTTTTAAAGACTTTTTGTATGTCATTCTAGGGACCTATATAGAAATGCATTGTGGTGAAAAAAAAACTATGTTGCAACTTGTGTGAGGTTCACTTTAAAAAATTGTGTATTTTGCCTTGACTACTTGGCGGAGGTAATAAAGGGCAAATACGTGTTCTTGGGCCTTAAAGTAGCTCCGGCGACTTGTGCCGCATTTTGCTGGATTGTTTTGCTCGTATGCATTTGGAATTAGCGGGCTATGGTTTTGATATTGCTTCGATAGACTCGAAAACTAATGTTTGTGTATTCGTTGTTACTAAATTAAAATAATCACAAAGAACACCCTCTGAGATACCTGGAAAGCCTGAGGTCTATTCGCGCACAATGGATTGTCAAGGGGAGGGGACTACGTGTATACAGCACTAGACTACTCCTCCAACTATACTTGGATACATGTACATGTACTGTACGTTCAAATTGAACTTATGTACACAACTTTCGTTAGGGAAAATATTTGCAAGTACATTTGTAATTGTGATTACTTGTAAATATCAATGTTCCTTATCTGCACCACTAATGTGCATAACTTTATCTAGGCCTAATACACATGTGCATTGTACATGTAATGTAGGCAGGGACCAATGAAAACCAGTTTTACCGTTTGTGCATATCCCAAGTACAGAAAAGTAATAAATAAACAAATGTCTTCCAGATCCCAGTAAACTCCAATGAATGTGATAAAGGAAGCAAACGAGAACAAATGCAGTCAACGAATAAAGATTCATTAATATGGAAAGCCTGATACAGCTTTATTTATAGGCGTATCTTTGTATACATTACAAAATGTAGAAAAATCACATTAAATACAAATAATATTCAGTGGGAAATCTAGGTAGACAGATTATAAACAAATAAAAATGTTTAAGATTTAATAACATGGACACAAAATAGGTACATGTACATTGGTTATAAGAGTTTTATATTATAACTCGGTATGTGCATATACATTGTACATATGTTGCATAATAAAATGAGTACGCTGTGCCACTTATTGTTCTCACAGAAATAAAGATAAGATATGTATTGTATTGCTATATGCACTTTCATTATCTCTCAAGTTGGGAACCGTATGAATCAAGTTTCACTATTCAAAAAAATGAATGTGCAACTGAACTTTTTAACTCTCACATTATGTTTTGGTTTTCTTGCAAACGTGTTGCCCTTTGCATTGTATGAAGACAAGTTTGGATACGAGACATTACCTTTTATAAAAATTATTGTGTAATGAATAAAAACACAATGACTCAACTCAAAACTTTGTTATCAAAATGTACATAATCTGCATAATTTCATCTTAAAAATGGCCATAATATGTACGGCCTCTTGCTACAGTTTACATACAGAAAACTATTTGTGGATATTTTCTTTGCTAATGCAAACAAATGCTTTATCGTAATTTACAGTTCAACAGTTCGATACTGCTGGTGATCAATATTTACAAAGTATGTACAGCGATTCATGTACAAGGGAACTCCAGATTGCACCAACTTTGAATACATTGTCTGGGAACAAAAATGAGAAATCAATAACTCCTTCATGTTTGGCTTAAACTGGGCCATGGTTTATAGCTCTGTACTACTGTTCCATGGCCATTCCATCTCGACCATCAATATGTCGGCCAGGAACTTGTGTACATGTATTCTCTCTTTTTTTATTTTTAGATTTCCAGGCAATCTAATTATCAAATACGACTACATTTCGTACTAGTGAATTTTCAACCAAAGATGTTAACGAATCAAGCCAAAATACAGGACAGTTGATGCATGTACATTTGGAAACAACTCATGGGGTTCTGTACAGAAAATTGAAACTAACAATCCATTATATCTCAACGACAAATTGTTCCCCTGCTTTTCCGTAAATGTGGAAATTCTTTTCAGCCATATGTTTCCCTACTTTTGGGTGACAGTGGCTAGACTCGATCCCGACTGCTGAAAATACTGCATAACAAATACATTACTGAATAGGCCACACCAGCAACCAACTGCATGGATTTATTTTCTGATAAATAGACTCAAAAGGTGTATGTACATAGGAAGCTACAAGCTGGGAATGAAAACACCAGATTGTTGCCATTCCATCAGAAATTGTTTATGTGGAGCCAAGTACCCTGGAGGGGTACAGTAGGCGGGGCCACAATACTTAGGACTGTGTGCACTTTAGATCAACCGCCAAGTCAAGTATTTTGGAGTGGTTTGTTGATATTTGTGGATAGTTTTTAAGCCCCTAAATCTCTAGAGGAAGTATGCCTTGAAAAGTAACTTAACTTTTTTGTTATCTTTTGCAGTGTTTTTCTCCAATTGTAGTAGAACTAACCCACCTGTTGTTTTCAAAAAACAAAGATCAATGGAACCCCATTTCAGACTAACACCGTAGCAATTTGTCAGAAGATGGTTTCCTTTTCTTACGCTGGGCGTTCACTGCATACCAGGTAATGGAATGGAAATACCAGGCAATGGACATATTTGAACAGATGTGTTTATAAGCCCTTAAAGGTCACAACTAAGCCTAAAAAATGTTACCACTGGTACAGTGGCACTGCATGACAGACTACATGTACATGTACTAATCTTCAAAGTGAATTATACTGTCCTGCAAGACACTTTTACCTCTAGTGAGAGTTTGTATTTTTACGACTATATGTAGTCCAAAATAAAGGAACTCCATCCCTGAATTCCATCCCATTAAACTATTTTTGTGACTTCACCCTTTTGTTTAAAGTGTAGATTATTTTCAAGAGTCTACAGTTTACTGGAGATTCATAACGAGTGTACAGTTTACTGTAGATTCGAAACAAACCACAGATACCACGCATTCCTTATTTTTGTAAATTTACAACATGAAGGTATTTTGTGTAATTCTATCAGACATGACTTACTAAGTTGACATGCTTTTGGCAGTGAGGCGCCTTCCATTCGTTGTACATTGACTAATATGTATGCCGAGTAAATTTACGAATCTACACAAACAATATCAAAAAACATGGTGAGTGGGGTGATGCATGGGGTTCTTGAATAAACCTTTTTGAAAAAAAAAATAAGTCAGAGAATAGACTCGGAACTGTAGATTCGTGCCACAATGGACTACGAATCTACAGTTCCTTGTCTATTCTCTATAACAGAACATAAAACAACTAGGACAACATTTCAAAAAGTTAAAAAACAATCAGTGTATACCATGTTTAACCATAGTGCTAGTAACCTTTTTCAAACATGGCGGACACAATAGGAGGGCGCTATTTGAAGTGGGTAAATTTGAGTAAATACAAGAGTATACTCACTCTCAATGGCGCCCTCCTTTTGTGTCCACCATACATGTGCTTCTAATTGTCAATTGATTTGATAACTCCGTCAATTGGTTTCAGACCCCAAAGACATGACACAAATTGCAACTTCATCATTGCAAGTACATTTTATGTACATGTGAAAGATTGGTGAAAATGGAAAAGTACACGAATATTTGGGGTCAACGGAGAGACATAATATCATGTAAATGTACAACAGTACTATCAATTCGCATCCACTATGACTGAGCACAAAATATCATGTACATGAACACGTGTGCTTTACCTAAAGCATGTACATGCACACATGAGTTAAGCTCTAGTTTTAACTATTTGTGTGATCAATTCTTGTCTACACAAACTTTTCAAACAAACTAAAAATAATTTCCCCCAAAATAAGGGAACAGGAAGACATATATCACAGAGAAATTAATATCCTGCATTCATAAGTTTACAAAATATACAAAAGATTAAAAAACAGCATTTTGGCAAATATAAATCAATTGATCACCTCCTATAAGTACATTGTCTCGATGCTTTCAAACAAGGAAGGAAATACTGAAACTAAACAAAATGGATAAACCATTTCATTGTTTGTTTCACTTTTGGAAGATTAAACTCGAGTCCTGATAAAGGATAAATGGCTGTATTAGGGAAAGCCTCAAAACAGCAGCAAATTGAATAAGGTCAATTAAAAAAAGAATAATTTAAGAATAGAATACGCTTGCCTCCGTACTTTTAAATGTATGGTATAAATACATAACCATATAAACGTTTTAACTTTTGGAAGATTTTTCATCAATACAATGATCAATAGTTTTCATAACTCTAGAGGCACCCAAACACACACATTGTGTATGTTTGAACCTAGAACATACAGTCCAGATATCAAACTGTGTATGAACCACTGTGCGATGGATCAAACAGCTAGTTCACCATTACAAAGTCATCAGAAGTTAACTAAATGTATGTTGATGATATAGAAATGTCATGGAAAATTAAGAGCAGCTTAATCAAACTCATGCGTTGATTTTGATGCTTGTGCGCCTTACATCACTATTTAAATACCTGTGCATTTTTGCTGCCTTTGATTTTGTTAAAGGTCGACTTAAAAGTACTGGGTCCTTTGAGAATTGACAGATGCACCCAGCCTGCTAGCAAACAGATCAACAGACCAACTCACTGTCCTGCATGGAGTTCAGCGTGTCTCGCAAAGTATAGAAAGACGGCCTGGCATTCAGATCCTGACTGCAGCACATCTGAATCAGTTCATAGACACAGTGGGGTGTGTTGTCAGGGCACTCCAACGTGTGCCCTTTGTAGGTCTGCAGGAAGACTTCCTCATGAGTCATGCTCTCGTATGGCTGCCGAGCAAAGCTGAATATCTCCCATAACAGCACCCCAAAGGACCAGACATCGGAGTAGGTTGTGAACTTGTAGTGCCACAGGGCCTCAGGTGAGGTCCAGCGTATGGGTATGGTCTCATCCTTGTGACCCAGGAAGTGGTCGCTGGAGCCAAGGTAGCGAGCGAGGCCAAAGTCGGAAATCTTGACCTCATTGTTGTTGCCAACCAGGCAGTTTCTAGTTGCAATGTCCCTGTGCACAAACCGCTTCTCGGTCAGGTAGACCATACCACAGGCCACCTGGTATGCTAAATTGAGTTGGGTGCGGCTATTAATCCGCAAGGCACCCCCTGGCCCACCCTGTGGGGATTGGTCAGGGTTGTGGTAATGTAGGAATTCCTGAAGGTCCCCTTGGCCCATGTACTCAAGTAGTATGCACAGTGGTTTGCCAACAAAGCACACCCCCAACAGTTTGATCACGTTAGGGTTATCAAATCTGGCGATAATTTCTGCCTCACGATTGAAGTACTCCTGGACATCTCTATCAGCATTTGTTTTCAACATTTTGACTGCGACGGTGGTGGAAGCTTCCTCCGGGCGCAATTTTGGTGCAATCGCCTTAAACACCCGTCCAAATGCCCCCTCGCCAATATCTACAATATATATGATGTTGTTGCGAGGATATTCCAAGTGCCTCAAGTGTGGGTTGAAGCTTTTGTTGAAGTCTTTCCCATACATGGGGTTCTCGGGCAATTTGCTGACATCCAAATCGCCTGGGAACTTATAGCGGGAGTAGCGGTTAAACTTGTAACGACAGAACAGGACGGCGCCGACTATGATGCAAACAAAACATACACCAACAAAAGCGCCACCACATATCAAATATATGTCTCTGTTGCTGTTTGGTTCCATTGGTACGGGATGCACATAGGGTGTGTCAGTTATGGCATGCTTCTCCTCCGCAGTGGCGGTTGTGGATGACTGTTGTGGTGGTGTAGTTGGACTCGCTTCTGTCGTTACATCTGGAAAATTGAGCAGAATAACAGACATTAGTTGGAGTAGGAAATAAGCAATATTTAAATTTTAAAAGACTTACGTCTTCAAAGTTTTTTTTCGCAACCTTGCCAAGTTGTATAATGAGATATGAGAAATAATATGAATGTATTTCTACCGTTGCAGCCAAATATTTAGTTAGGTTATAACTGCTTTCAAGATGCAGAATAAAACAACAAACCAACAATGCGTGACTTCCTGGAACGTTTGGGACCAACAAACATGACAGCATCTTTCTGATGCACAATTGCACTGGGCAAGATTTCCCTGACATGATTTTACGAACATTTTCTCAACTCACCACAGCTTGGAATTTTGCAGGATTGCCACTCTGTTTCACCGCCAGTGGGAAAGCAGCCTGGTTCACTGTACCGCCCGCCTGGGTTACGGCAGTAGTTGCTGCTGTTCACCAGCTGGGGATATACTGATGCAAACATGCGCCGGCTCTGTGGGTACTAAACATACAATCAGGGGAAAAAATGATTAAGGTGTTTGTATGCCAAAGGTTGACCCAAACCATCAGGGGCAGATTTTGTGGATTTGTGCCACCAACACAAGTTGTACTGACAAACTGACAATATGGCAGGGAACTGTTCAGCCTTGGCAGACGTTTGAACTCTCTGAGTGCTTTCTAGTTACCGGTACAGTACGAAACAAACTTCAAACTTCAAACTCGAAACAAGTCATGCAGTCTCAATTCAAGTCACAGGTTATTCAAATGATCAGTGACACACACATATTAGTTGCGACCTTACTTGTGACTGACTTGCAATTTGACTAATGATGGACTGGTCTGCAACTCCAATTAATTAATTGAAAACCCTTGATGAACGTGATGCATGTATATGAATTCCTGAAAAGCTTAGTCATGTACAGTTAGATAGGCCTTTAGAGAAACAATTCTTAACAATGTAACTTACACTTGTTGCCCATTGCTGACAAGTCAATCCCGTTTTGGTCACACTGATGTTACCCTGGTAGTACATGCCATCGTTACTATTGTCAACACAATCCCCTGAAAGATAAAGTGAAAAAGTTTTTATTAACCCTCCTAGTCTTCTGAACTTTACACCCCTTTAACTTTTGCCAAACCACTATTTCCAATTGAGATAGCACAACACTTCAAATTCCTTTGAGGTAATTTTCTGTGGAGTATGGATAACACTTCAAATCCCTACATACTTCTTTTGTGTTGTTGAGCTCAGGGTAAAGCCCGGTTCATACTCGGCACAAAAGCGAGATCAAATGCGAATTTGTGACACCATGGCAAGTATTCGCGCTGCGAATTCGTAAAAAAACAAGATAAGTTTGCGGTAGCACCATGTGAATAAATCTCTTTTGTGAGTATGTGTGGTTGTGTGGACTCAACGTTTCAACAGTATGCTCTGTCCGTCGTCAGGAGAATGAGGGATTCCAACAATGATGAAATGTTCGTAAAAGTTGAACACATTTCAACTCTGGCGAATTTCGCAGCGAATGTTTCATGACGTCAAATTCGCTTCGAATTCGCATGGAGTATGAACCACGCTTAAGCAGGCAGATGGTCATTTTTCAATGCTCTCCAAAAAGCTGTTTTTCGTCCAGTGACTATTTGTGTGACACCCTTACTTTAACACTTCATATCCCTTCACTTGAAACTGACCTGCAGTGTTTGACAGGGTTTACATATTGCTCTGAATATTGGTTGCCCATTACGAGGGCTCCTCATTCATTAACTACGATCTGGCAACACTTTAGAATTGGGAACTGAAGAAGTATATATAGAGGTGGAAACATAATACACGTCATTATTATTTCTATGGGAAAGAGAAAGCTTGAATTGACAATGGCTAAGGTACTCACATGTTTTCTTATCGTCTCGCATCTCTGTGAATAAAGGAACAAAATTGAAATATTTTAGATTGTTTGAACATCTTACGTTCATCCCTAAAAGGTTCATCAAATATGAAGAGAATTCATCATAACTGGGAGACAAGGGTACACACTGGTAACTCTTTAGAAGGGAGCCAAGTTTTATTTTGAAAGAACCACCTACATTCTGTGGACATGAACCAAATTGAAATCTCTAGCAGGCCCATCGCCAAGGGGGGGGGGGGGGCCTAGAGGGGCCAGGCCTTCCCCTGGCAAGCAACTGCCCTTCCCCCTCCCCCTTGGCAAAAGCCATAAGCATAAAAATTATCTACAATTGTGTTTTTTTCTTGTGGTGCCCCCTAGCTGGTACTGCCCCCCCCCCCCCCCCCAATTGGCCAGAGCTGGCGACTGGGCTGATCTCTTGTGTCGTTCTGATACAAACAACATAATGACATGTTTATCATTCTTTAAAAAACAATGGTATTAAACTTAGCTTTATATTGAAACAATGTGAATTCGAGTCACACAGACATTAGAACGACCACAAGTAATCCATTCCCACAAAGACGGCAATCAATGTATGTCAGTGCAGTCAGTGTATGCACTGTGGGACTTACCAAACAGGCCAGCATCACTACAGCTCCCTGGGGCTGCTTCTTTGCTGGGGAGATCCTGGCATTGTGATAAGCCCGCTAGTGGCCCCAGCTTCTGCTTAATCCTCTCATCGCTGCTCAAGCGAAGCTTCAAGTTCCTCCAGTCCTGATAGCAGAGATCACTGCGCACTGTCAGACAGTCCTCCCTGACAAAAGAGTAATAACAATTCAGGTAGATATTAACTCTCTGATTTGTCTTTCCCTCACATAAACCTTTCAATGTCATCTACATTATATACATAGCAAGTTGTAGTCAAGTAGGTTTTGCCTTTCACCACTGTATACTCAGTGTGTTACCTCCCGAGTGAAAGTTGAAAAAAACAAGTCAGGTGTGTTTACAAACACAAATGCCCCGCAACCGTGACTGTTTCCATGACATAACACCACTCTAACATCAACTTACATGTACCTTGGTCAAATGGAACGTTCATTGACAGCATTAGTGTCTTCTGTAGGTTTTATATGAATTAATCCCTAATCCCTATGATCTCAGAATAAATACAAGATTTCTATTGTTTTAGCCACTGTGACCTTGACCCTTGACCTTTTGACCCCCAATGCGATAGGCTTCTTAGGATTGCCAAGGACAATCCACAAACCAAATTTGAAATTCATATGTAAAGTATTTCTCAAGTTATCGCGCTGACAAAATTTCTATTGTTTCAGCCACTGTGACCTTGACCCTTGACCTTTTGGCCCCAAATGCAAAAGGCTTCTTAGAATTGCCAAGGACAATCCACAAACCAAATTTGAAGTTCATATGTAAAGTATTTCTCAAGTTATCGCGCTGACAAAATTTCTATTGTTTCAGCCACTGTGACCTTGACCCTTGACCTTTCGGCCCCAAATGCAAAAGGCTTCTTAGGATTACCAAGGACAATCCACAAACCAAATTTGAAGTTCATATGTAAAGTATTTCTCAAGTTATCGCGCTGACAAAATTTCTATTGTTTCAGCCACTGTGACCTTGACCCAAGGCGGAAACAGTATGCCCCTTCGGCTTCGCCGCGGGGCATAAAAATCACTCTGGTGGGACTCGAACCCACGACCTCCCGCTTTCTAGTGCAGATGTCTTATCGACCACTGAGCTAACGTGATCAGTTGGCTGGTTTGAATCTTATGTACATAGCAGCGGGTACCGCAATCATATGATGAAATTTTGCGTTGGGGTAATGTAAATCACCCCGATGATTTACATCACCCCAACGCATAATTCCATCTTATGAATTGTAGTCAAGTACTCACTTTCCAGAAGTATGAATATGAGTGCATGTACTTTGCTATGAATAGAGTAGAAATAGGAGTAACTTGCCACGAGTATAAAAACAAGTGCAAGCATTTTTTCCATGAGCATGATGAGTACGAGTACGAGTACATTCCACGAGTATGATTACGAGAGCTTTCCATGAGTACGCACACATTTCAATGGGTAACACATGTTCTAAAGGACTTTTTGCTGTCAAACTAGGCATTAGACAAACATGCAAAAGCCTCCAGAACAGTTAAATATTAGTTCTGTCCCCGCATGTAACTCTTACAGAAATACAAAATTTCAGTGGCTGAACATTTCCATGAGTACGAGTACGAGTGTATGAGTACAAGTAATTTTGTTTTTGCGAGGATGAGTATAAATACGAGTACATTCTCATGAGTTCGAGTGCGAGTACAAAAAAATGTGTACGGGTATGCGTACTACAACACTGATACAAATGGAGATGCAATACTTAAGACTACACATGTAATCAGCTTAGGTTCCAAACTGACCACACTGACGGGTGATTAACAAAAAAAAAAGGTAACTGATAGCAGAAAGCTGTCATCAGATCATAATTTACCTGCAGAGTGGTTGAAGCCTGGAGTTTTTGCAGTCAGGCAGCATGCTGTGACAGACCAGTGACTTGAAAGCCTCCCTGCAGGTGCTATCCTGGACGATGCTGTCCACGTGGTCAGTCAGTCTCTTTAACACTGGCTCCATGCGATTGTGCGGGTCGTAGAAATTGGCATCCACAAAGACACTGCGACCCGACAAGTAATTCTTGCAGATGTTGCCTCTGTAGCTGGCACAGTAACTGCAAATGTTTACAGACAGTGACTTATTGGCGTTGATGTAACACCTTCATTGATTAGCAAAGCCCTTCACAATGCTGTTACCCCTGTCCAATGGTCTACATTGGATAGGCTATTTACTGGTGAACCGTTTAAGCGCATTTTCAGTCCACTTTGTGTCTGTTCCATAATTAGGCTTATCGTGCTTGTTGTAATATTAACCCTGACGTACCTGAATCCATCTAAGTCCACACCCCTGTTTTGGCAGATTTCGGCAGATTCAGGATACCTCCATATTGAAAAACTTGGGGATTTTGATGGATTCATGACAGTAATCCTAGCGGAACTGCAGGATTTTGATGGATTCAGGGTACTTCCATATTGAGCAGTTGAGGGACTTTGATGGATTCAGGATCTCAACACTTTAACTTCTTGGCTATATGTTTGGTGTGTACGAGGTATATGTACTACACTGGTGGATTTTGATGGACTCACTGGTGGATTCTGATGGACTCAGGACACCAAAGTTTTCTTGCATGACCAAATTGGTGGATTTTGACAGATTCATGATACTTTCTAGTAAAAGAGCTCAAGGGGTTAGGGTTAAGCGACTAAAAAAACTCCTACAAGCAGCTTTATCATCATCATCATCATATTGGTAATCCTTCCTTCTGCCCAAGCACAACTCAGTGGGAAAATGCCTCGTATTCAAAACTGACAGATATACCATAAACTTGCATGCAATACATGGATAATATTATGCTGAATTAAAGCTATACAAGGGAAATAATACACTGAATTAAAGCTGGAATTGATAACATGTTACTCACCTTGGAATTCCATGGACTCTGACATTATAATGCATTGTGGACACATAATCCTTCTCCCTGCCATCCTGCTGTAAGACTTTGTTTCTTGCTAAGCAGGTATAATTGAGAGACTTTGATGCGTTGAAGGTCAGATACTGCTTGACCCAGTAAGTGGGAGGGTGAGTCTCTTCATTTTTCACCTATACAGGACAACGGAAATAACACAATTTAGGACATATTACAAGCTGTCATTTTGAATCAGCCCAATATCATTGCCAACTATGGAACAGCCTTTGGCAATTCTGGATTGCTGCATGTGTACAAATACAAGCTTGAATGTCAAACCTCCGAGCAATTCCTGCGTTACGTCAAGTCTGGAACAGAGCTTTTAGGAGCTCAGTGAGTAATAAGGTTTGAAACATTTCTTTAAATCATTAGCTCTAACCTTCCAAAATCCTCTTTGCATAATGGAAGATTTCGAAGGATTGAGGCAGTATGGCAAGCATGTGTGGTTTTTTTTGGAGGATGCATTGTGTCAAGATCTCAGGCCAAACCTTGTGTTGTTTATGCTTAGCCATGCATAAATTTAGGCCTAGATTGTACTTGAAATCATCAGCACTGCTTCAGGACAACACTGGCACTGCCTCAATGTATTAACAGTGACTGTTGGAGAATTTTGAAGGATTGAGGCAGTGGTTACCCCTCAAAAGGAGCAAATTCAAGAAAGAACAGATGATGTTGGCAGATTAAGTCCGTATCCAATTATTACATGGAGGCATGCACTTGGGGAATTTTGCAAGACTGGGGATACATCTTAGCAAAAAGGCTTGGGTTGGGTTAATTGGATATCCATGTATTGGTTAATTGGCTGTCACAGACAAAAACACTTCCTTTTATAATGCTGGAATTGCCCCTCTTAAATAAATGTGATGCGGTCAAGCTAAATGAGTCATTTGTCGGGAACTTTCATTTCAAGATTCAGGCCAAAATAGGGTCACTTCATCACATCAATTCATCACATCTCTTGGTGTTCCGACTTCCATAAGTTCTGAACTAAAGATGGTACCAGCATGCGGTTTTCACAGCAGTAATGCTGAGATTGTGCTCTTTTCGAAACTGTTCAAAAAAATTTGTTGACCAAGGTCGACAAATGACTCATTAGATTGATCGCATCACAAATACTCAATGGCTAGTTAGTATCCAATTCTGCACAAGCGACATAAAAAAACAGTGATCCTCTTGGGCTAAAACTATGTAACCAATATAAAAAAAATGGATGCACAGACCAGTCAGGTGGGAATGATACTCACAAAATCTGTGTTCTTGGTCCAGCTAAATGTTGGCTTAGGATTTCCAGTTGCTGCACATGTAAGGTTGACTGCGGCGCCATAAGACACATCAATGGTCTGCTGCTCACCAGGGATCTGTGCTGGAACTGGGAACCAATGGAAAAGATTTACAGGGTGAGTTTGATTGATGATATGATATGATCATGTTCAATTTACTTCCTCTTAAAGGGCATGTACATCATTGGCTTTTGCTATAATTTTCGGAAACGAACTATTTGAGGGGTTAGTATAATAGATCAACTATTGTTACACTGACATTTTGTACTCGAAAATGCTGGAAAAACCAAGAAAAACACAAATGTTCAAGTAGTCTGGTTCCCTGACTCCACAAAAGATAAAAATGTATCAGTTTATAGATGCCGGAAAATTGTAAGGTAAGGGAACCAGTCTAGCTGGCCTGCACCCGTTCATGAACATGTAACCAATAGCAAACAACATTTGGACTGAAAAAATGGTAAACTTGGAGCAGAAGTTCAAAAACAGTTAGGTTTTTCCATCGGTGGTCGGCCAACCACCGTTGGAAATGTATACAAAAATACAATTTTCTTGAAAATGACTACACACCAGGTGCCATAATTTTACAGGATGCTTTAGACTGTCATTTACCAACATCCTAGTAAGGTATTTCATAAAAACTTGGTAGTTTTATTTTTCGATGTTTGCAATTGTTGTATATACCCTTTAATCCTACCGGTAACTCCCTAGCGTCTTTTACTAGGAACTGGACCAATTCAATCAAAATCCATCTATCACTGTGCGTCTAATACAAAACTGTACATGATAAAATGGAATCAACCACTGACGCACTGGTTGACATTCGTGTCACATGGCTTTTATCACAATAGCAGTACAGGAAGCTAGGCAAAATCATTCGGATACCCCTAGCACTGTTTCAGGCCATTAGGCCCAAGTCCATCATACTCCATCAATATTTAATCACGCCAGGCCTTCTGGACCAAGTCCCCCAAAATCCACCGATTTGGGGGATGGATTTTGATGGAGTTGGGGTGGTTAGGGTTTCATAGCTTTAACCCTTTTGTAGTAATTTAAAACACTAACTCTTACTTTGGACATCAAGGAAAGCTGGCGTTGAATACACCTCCCCGCCAGCATTCAATGCTCGGCACTGATAAACACCACCATCAGAAGTACTGATACTGGGGATCCTGAGGTTGAAATTACTCTTAATAATATACTGGGAACTGTTGCGCGGAATGTCGTGTCCATCCTTGACCCAGGTGACCTCTAACCCCTGACCCACAGGCTGGCAGCGGAATGTGACTCGACCACCGACGGCAACGGTCTTGTTCTCTGGGCCTCGCTGGATTGACGGGGGCTCTAGAGACATAGATGAGAAAAGAAAGAGAACTTATGAAATTAGCAGTACATGTATAACCTCAGATATTCTGCCACCATGTAGCTGACACTATGGCAATAGGCTACAGAAAGAGAAAGCAGGGCACGTTTTCAGTAGATAATTTAAGAGTAATCAGCTCATCATAGTTTGCTTCCATTCTTTTTACTGTAGAATTGTTATTATAGTTCAATACACTGTATAAGCTTTTGATTTTGTTCTGAAAAGACCCACATACATGTAATGGTACTTTCCAAGTGCAAATCCAACAGTCACTTCTAGTATAAAACAAGTCAGGTGTGTTTACAAACACAAATGCCCCGCAACCGTGACTGTTTCCATGACATAACACCACTCTAACATCAACTTACATGTACCTTGGTCACATGGAACGTTCATTGACAGCATTAGTGTCTTCTGTAGGTTTTATATGAATTAATCCCTAATCCCTATGATCTCAAAATAAATACAAGATTTCTATTGTTTTAGCCACTGTGAACTTGACCCTTGACCTTTTGGCCCCAAATGCAATAGGCTTCTTAGGATTACCAAGAACAATCCACAAACCAAATTTGAAGTTCACATGTTAAGTATTTCTCAAGTTATCGCGCTGACAAGATTTCTATTGTTTTAGCCACTGTGAACTTGACCCTTGACCTTTTGGCCCCAAATGCAATAGGCTTCTTAGGATTGCCAAGAACAATCCACAAACCAAATTTGAAGTTCACATGTAAAGTATTTCTCAAGTTATCGCGCTGACAAGATTTCTATTGTTTTAGCCACTGTGAACTTGACCCTTGACCTTTTGGCCCCAAATGCAATAGGCTTCTTAGGATTGCCAAGAACAATCCACAAACCAAATTTGAAGTTCACATGTAAAGTATTTCTCAAGTTATCGCGCTGACAAGATTTCTATTGTTTTAGCCACTGTGAACTTGACCCTTGACCTTTTGGCCCCAAATGCAATAGGCTTCTTAGGATTACCAAGAACAATCCACAAACCAAATTTGAAGTTCATATGTTAAGTATTTCTCAAGTTATCGCGCTGACAATATTTATCCGGACACATACACCCACCCACCCACCCACACACACACCCACCCACCCACCCACCCACCCATACACCCACGGAAGGACAAGGCGGAAACAGTATGCCCCTTCGGCTTCGCCGCGGGGCATAAAAACTGACATATTTACCTATTGGTTGTCGAGTTATTTCAAGTGGTATTTGAACATTCCCTGGTTGCCTTGGGTTTTCTGTACAAGAAACATACATGTAAATGGGACAATAAAAAAAACCGATAATAAAACTTTACAATATTAAAAATGATTCTCAATTCAATGTCTTACTAATTCAATCAAGCTCATACTTGCTTCTGTCCATTTCCAAATTTGCAACAATTAAACAGGACAACATTTTTCACACAATTTTTAAGGTTTTTTTTTAATTCCTACCTGAAATTGGCTTGACTTCTGATGTGTGCTGCTGAGTTAGATCTGTTATTGCTGGGGTTGTTAGGTTATCAGGGGCAGCAGATGAAGAAGGCACTGCAAGGGAAAATTGAAAACTTGTTTAAAAAATCTAAAAACAAGTTGGATCACTGCTTTGTGCCAGGGGTGTAACAAGTCATCAGTGTTTTGTTCATCACAATACATTGTACATGTACGAGAATACAATCCGGCATCATAATAACATATTTAATATACTACCCAGACAGAACCTTGTCATTTGATTGGTGGAATTTAGTCACATGACAATAAATCAATTGCCCCATTTCATTGACAAATATTCAATTGTAAAATTTACATCATACATCAAACGATTTGCATGGTTCCATTTACCATGCATTTTGGTTCCATTCGTTTCGCTCCATTGCATGCACGTTATGCATTGACCATACATGACCGACCGTACTGACACTGCATCAATCGCAACCTTTGACACGAACCCTGACAATGTTTGGAAATCATTTAAACCATTGGACCAGTTATAGACTGTTTTTGAACACTTTTGGACTTGAACTTCGAGCTTGTTGTGTTTACTACTGTTTGGATTGGAACTTTTACTACCTGTTGGATATATTGTATGTTGTGGATGGCCATGGAAATGAAGTAAAATTGAAGGTAAGGCCAAAAAAAAAATATTCGGTCTCTGGTCAGACCAAAGTTCCGGAACTGACGCGGCCACTTCAAGCTTAGACAAGGTGGGGTACAATTTTGCTTTTTTGGTGTCCTCATGTACATTGGTGTCCTCCATAATTTGCCTTGGTGCTTTCGATCATTTGCCTTGGTGCAATTTCCCATTCCTTGGTGCTCTTTGGTAAAAAAAAATTGAGGTGCGGAAATAGAGGGCGCTGTTGGAGCTACCGCAGAACATTTTGGAAAAAAAAGATCGACGCGCATGATTAAAATCGACGCGCGCGCTGACCAGAGACCGACTTACTTTTTTTGGCCTAAGCCTAAGTATTTTTTTTCATAAAATATCAAATGACAAGGATCTATTTAGGTGTTATTTAATTTGTGCAATGGATGGAATATTTTCATTCGGTGAAAGGTTGAATGGAAAAGTCAATCTTGCACCTCATGAAAATACATTGTATTCCTCCCAGTCCTTCTGATTTGAAAATTGCAGGCGTGTGGAAAAACGCACACCTGGATTTTTCTAGGCGTGTGATTTTTCTAGGCGTGTGATTTTTCTAGGCGTGTGATTATCTAGTGTGTGATTCTGTGGTCCAGGAAATTCAGGCGTGCAATCATTCACACTTCTCGGGAAGCTTTTAGGTGTGCGATGGCGTGGGGGTGCGATTGCACGCCTCAAATCAGAAGGACTGTCCTCCCATTGCACTCATAAACATTCATCACGATATTGGTTATGAATAAAGTCAATATAGGCCCATCTACTCAAAAACGGAAGGTAACAGCATTCTTAATTTGTGGACGGCACATCTTGTAACTATGAACAAAAAATGAACATTTTTATATCAAAGGTGACAAGAAATAGGCAGTTGTCATATAGAGTTGCATACTTTAGAAAACTAAAACCCGTCCAACATGCACCATAGCATGTGAACACTTAATAAATTAATACACAAATGGAAACGTTCGATCACTTTACTGCATGATAGGTATCATGATATACATACATGTACACGATGTAACTTCTGAAGTTAGAGTATCACAGGCTGCACCTTAACCCTAACCCACCTCACTCCTCCAAAATCCTCCTGGCGGTTTTGGAGGATTCTAGAGGATTGAGGATGAATGGTGATTGAATCAAATGAGGATTCTGGAGGATTGAGGATGAATGGTGATTGAAGCACATGAGGATTTTGGAGGATTGAGGATGAATGGTGAATGAAGCACATGAGGATTTTGGAGGATTGAGGATGAATGGTGAATGAAGCACAAGAGGATTTTGGAGGATTGAGGATGAATGCATTTTGAGGCAGGACTGTCTGATGATTTTGAAGGATTTGGCGTTGGTTATCCTTCATTTAAACACGAGTGCAAAGTTTAGGGATGAGGAGGATTTTGGAGGATTGAGGATGAATGCATTTTGAGGCAGGACTGTCTGACAATTTTGAAAAATTTAGGCGGAGTTGAAAAATTTTGGAGGATTTTGGAGGATTGAGGATGGTTGTAAGCAACAAGGGCCTAGGGGGTTAGGGTTAACCCTTACTCCCTACTGTTTTTGGAAAGAGTTCCATACCTGGACATCACTTGTCACTCTGTGCACAAACCCTGTGAGACTGGTCTGAAAAAGTCTAAGTGTTTTCTCAGTAAATGCTTCAATATTTTTTTCCTGCTAAATTTGACTTTTTTAGGGCATGTTATCACTTTCTGATGGCTGATAGGTCACTGCAGGAAAAAAAAATTAGTGATGTCCATGTATGGCATTCTTCCCCTGTTTTTTACTAAGTACTAGACCAAGTCCGCCAAAATCCATTACCTAATCACACTTTTTCCAATGCATGCTTTGCTTTAGGCCTCCAGGCCCAAGTCCATCTTACTCCATCAATATTTAGTCAAACCAGGCCTGCAGGACCAATTCCCCCAAAATCCACCAAAATGTGGGGATGGATTTTGATGGAATTGGGGAGGTTATGGTTAATTAATGTGGGAAAAGGTAGGCCTATTGATCTCTTTTTAAAATTATACATTTTTTTAAAGTGTACAGTTTATTGGTTTCATGAAAATTTTTAACATATTTTCCAACTTTCAAATGACTGCCCATAACTGGGGTTATCATGGTAGGTGAGAATGTTCAACCTACACACACTCCTTCAATATTTACATTGGGCTAAAAACATTTGCTTCTATCTGCTTGCAATTTCAAAATAGGGAACTCCAACCTTCCAAAATCCTCTTTGCAAAATGGAGGGTTTTTCAGGATTGAGGCTTTGTATGGCAAACATGTGTAGCTGATTTTGGAAGATGCACTGTGCCAAGGTCATTGGGCCGGGCCTTGTGTTGTTTATGCTCAGCTGTGCATAATTCAGGCCCACATGTACATTTGTAGATTATACTTGAAATCCTTCGCATTGCTCATAGATGTCACTGGCTCTGCCTCAACATAGGCAGTGATAGCTGGAGGATTTTGCAGGATTGGGGGGCTGTGGCCACCCCTCCAAGGACCACATTCAAGAAATAACGGAGCATTTTGCAGGATTGAGGCTGTATGCATTTTTTACATGGAGGCAGTTGGAGGATTTTGCAGGATTGAGGTTGCATCTTAAGTGCATAGGGAGTTAGGGTTAAAGAAGGAAATATTTAACGCTGTTAACGCTGACAATACCCAAGAAAAATGGAGAATGTACATCGTGCAAGCCACTAAATGCATAAAATTAGCCTTGAAGAGAAAATGGTCAACAGTCTATATCGTGTGGTATCAGCTTTTGTTGACTGCCATGTGTACCAGCATCAATATGAATGTACTGGCAGCGGAAAATTTAGAAAACATGTAGTGCTGTAACTTATGTAAAAAGGCCCAATAATGCGGCTCAGATACTGAACTTCCTCCGTATTGTGAGCCACACAGCGGTCATACACTATTGTGGGAAAAAAGTTGATTTTGAGGAAATTGGGACTTTTTTTCACTTGATATTCACCATGGAAGATACTTTGGTTAATAACCAGGAAAAATCGAATGGTCAAGTGCACATGACTTTTGTTTTGACCTAGAGAAAATAACTGCAATCTTTTTTAGACAAACTCACTGAACATTTTGTCTGAAAATTACAGGGTAACTAAACACAGGTCTATAGAAACAGAACTCAATTTTCCTGACTATGCCTTTCTTCCATGGTGAATATAAATTGAAAAAAAATAGCCCCGAAATTGATTTCCTCAAGCTACGCTGTACATGTGGCAAGCACGTGTATGCACCAACGGCAGAAAATTCAGAAACATGCAAAGCTGTATTGCTACCAATACAAGTACGAGTGTTAAAACCTTGTAATAAATACATGAAAATTATGAATACACGCACAAAAATATCAAGTTGTGTAAATTAACTCGCAGAAATTGTCTTTCCATCGATGTTTCAATGTTTGTCATGTTTGTGTGACATTTTGACAATGTTAAAATTTGAGTGGCGTAAGGATACTGTATTCTTCTCTTTTTTTAAATTACAGAAAATTTTACTTTACTTCTACTAAACTTTACATAAACAAGCAAATGTAACACTAACAATAACATGCATTGTTAGGCATTTTTGTATATTTAACATGTTTAATGAACAGTCAGTAATGTAAAAACATAATTTAGTTTGCAAATTTATTTTGCTCACCAATTGTTGCAGTCGGTGCGGAAGAGGCAGGAGACAACAGGCAAAAAATCACCACTACTTGCAAGCCACCAACAGCACTTCTGTATCTCCAGGCCCAACGATGGTCAGCTCTTGCGCCGTTCATGGCGACATTTCGCCGTTTCGACTCGGGCGTTGCCATACTGCTCCGCCAAGCCCAAGGTGTCCCGCCAGACCTCCGAGCGACAGAAAACCATCCAGACTTCATTCCAAGTCGCGGGTTTGAATCATCCCCCGGTCAAAGAAAAATCACTTTCGTTGGTAGACACGTATACTCATCTTCGGACAACTTAAAGTTTCCATTTCTGGAGTTATATTTCGAGGTTTTTGCTGAAATTGCAGGCTTTTTCTTGCCTCCTCTTCAGACATTCGGTTTGGGCCTTTTCAATATGGCGACTATATTGTATGTAATTGTATTGTGGCTCGCTCTATTATGCACGGCGTAAACAGGTGGGGCTAGTCGATTAAACAAAAAGGGGTGTTAGCATTCCTTGAACCGAAAAAAGGGAAAATATACGCTCATCGTCGATTAACTATGAAGTAATAAACACATGTAAATCTTTTTTTTTTAATGTCAAAGTTAACAAATTGAAAGGAAAATGCTACATTGCTCTAATTTTACTATTTTATTAAGGTGTAGTCATATTTACGCCCCTTTCAAACTTTTGTGGCGTGACCCTCAGAAGCGGCAAAAGGCAAACAACTATTCATAAACAAATATGCGCAAATTGGACTGGAATTTTTGTGCAATACGCAGTAAACAAGTCCTTTGATATACATTGTTGAACAATTCGGTGTCAATATCGGTACCCAGAAACAACAACCGGAACAGTTATGCGGAACCGTAACTTGTCTGGCGAGAAATTCAATCCACAAAACATTCATTTAAAAGGCAAAGAGAGGCATAGTTGTACCAGAGATGTAATTTCATTTCAGAGATCGTACTGTTCCTACCTCCATGGTATAATGTAAGGACTAGCATTGTGTGCGAGGTTCGAGTCAATGCCCTGATATGCAAAATAGACGTTCACGGTTTACCTCGATCAAACAGAATGACTCACGAAAATAGCAGCGCCATGGTTCATGAATTTTAATGGCTTTAGCAAAAGTGGGTTTGTGGAATGCATGGTACCTCGTTCACAACATATCTGCACCGTGCAGTTCTGCGTATTAAGCCACTTATTTCAATGTGTGGGGTCCTTTTAGTGCCGAGAAAGTCATTTCTATGATGAAAGAAGTAGATACATCATACTGGTGAAAGACAAATATTGAAGAATATTGCACGCAATTTATAAGTGGAGGCTAAAGAAAAAAATCCCAGTCTGAGAAAAAGTAAATTCAACCCATCGTGCATGCATGCTTTGAAAATCCATAGGCAGAGTTAAATGACTTGAGTCAATGACTCGCAATCGACACGCAATCAGACTCGAGTCGCAATTTTTGGCGACTCGACTCGGCTCGAGTCCCTGTACATAGGGGTAAATGACTCGACTCGAGTCAAGTCACTGCGAGCAAAGGACTCGATTTGACTCGAGTCCCAAACATGGGCGTTGCGAGGGGGACAAGGGGGCGCTTGCCCCCCCCCCCCCCCCGAACAGCAAAAAAAAAAAAAGAGGCGCGAAGTCATAGCGGTGTAAATTTAATGAGTTGGAGGGGGGGGCAAAATGTCCCTGCCCCTTCTAAAACTGAGAAATCGAGAAAATGTTGAGAAATACAGGAATATTTTGGGATTTTTTTGGGGGGGGAAATATGTTTTGCCCCCCTCTAGAAAAATCCTGGCGACGCCCATGGTCCCAAAACTGTGTAAAAAAATATTTTGCGGTGGCTTCGCGCTGCCGTCAAGTTGTGGCCGCTCATGTAGAACACAACGGCACACTATCCCGGAACCATACTTTAAACGCATTTGTTTCATCATCGGTTCGGGCGACTAAGCCTTTCATGGAACTCCGGCTAAATTTATGTCCTGCTTTCAAAAACTTATGCGGGCATAAGTGACATTTATTCATATTTAAAGCAGTAGCCTTTGATTATTTCAAGATATCTCAATTATTTATCTCAAGTTATTTCAAAATATCTCTAATTATTACAAGATAAAACAAACTTTAAGACACTTCCAAAGCACTTGATTTCAAGATATCTCTAAATGATATTGAGATATCTCTTAATGATTAGTCGATATATATCTGTAAATGATTTCATTCTACACGTATCTCTAAATGACTTCAAGATATCTCTTAAATCAGGTCAAGATATCTCCAAATTTATTTCAAGATATCTCGAAATCCATTTCAAGGTATCTCAAAATCCATTTCTATCTCGATTTCATTTTAAGATATCTGGAAATCAAATTCAAGACACCTCGAAATCCATTTCATCCTTAAATCCTTTTCAATTTATTTCGAAATCTTTTAAAGATATCTCGAAATCGTTTCCGCTTCCGTGTCACACTAGCGTTTTTACCCTTGTCCCGACATAATTATAAATGTACATTATGATCCCGGCGGAAGCAGAAACAATTTCAAGATATTTCGAGATATCTTAAATTGATGATTTCAAAATATCTCTATTTTCATCAGCAAAAAAACTGAAAAGTAGACAAAGTCATGGGGGTTTTTTTTGACACTTGGCCTCCGAAAATCAATAGGGGGCTCGTACCATACTTTCAATGGGGCGCCGTTCAAATCCGACGATTATTAACACTATATTACAGAATAGTGTAAAAATACCCCCAACCAACCTGGCTCTGTACTTATTTTGTGCACAGTACAGGCGGACATTATTACCAGCATTATTTTTAATGAATTTCGATTCAAAAAAAAAAAAATTGGACAGAGCTGGGGGTTGAACCCCCCCCCCCCCCCCCGGATCCGCGCCTGTATTCTACACAAAATACCTAATTTCTGAAGATGGCTTCATTCTGGTCCACAGTGTCACCCAATAATTGTCTTTTACAATTGGTCCAAAGAAGTAGAAACGTATTCGCTGTTAATGAGAGGATCGACGGAACAGTCTCCGTATATAGGCGATCTACAGCTCCAGCAGGGTTTGTTTTGATGAGCTTATTTCACACACAGTGAGGCTTCTTAATTACTAGCAAGATTTTACTTGACCTCAATTTACATGTTGACCCTCAAGTGGGCGTGGTAAGCCTTGGTGAAGCAATAATTATTTTGCCACATGTTTCATCATCAACTGGCGTTATATTTTGCGTAATAGCGATACGTTTTGGAGGACTTTCATGGAAATATGTTGTAATAATTATTTACCTTTTTAAAGGCTGGGGAAAAAATTGGCGTAAAAGAGCAAACAACAAATAAACCTCACGGTGCCAACCGTGACTCAGAAATCGGAGCATATAATACCATTTAAGGACCTGCATAGTATAATAGCCAAGTCTCTCCATATTGCATTTTGTGCACACTCGTTAGGCCTTTTACACACACACACAAAACATGACTGACAGACAGACAGCCAGCCATCCAGCCAAACAGCCAGCCAGCCTACATCAGACAGACAGACAGACAAACAGCGTAGGATCTTTTAATAGGATAATTGATGATGGATTCTTGCATTGGATGTGGTTGCTCTTGCTCCACAGTCTGAGCAGTTATGCAGTTATGAGCACGTGACTGCAAGAAATGGAATGGAACTCAGTGGAAGATGCGCTCTCCACAAGAAGGACCGCACAAAATGTGAGATGGGCCCCTTGGACCTGTCAGTATGGCAGATAAACCTACAACGTCAGGATTTCAGTGGCAGAGTACACACGAGCATTAAGTCTTATTATATCAAGGTGTGAAAGCAGGAACCATCATTGTAGTGGGTTCCCTGAAGCAAAGGCAGTGGCCTGTGCCCCCTCCCAATGGCCACTCAGAATTTCGGGAAAGTGGGATTGTCATTAATATAAAACCCGTTGAGTATCCCTTAGGCCTATACAGAAATTGCGCCACTGCTTTTGATTACGAAACACGATTTCGTCAATAAATTAAGTCTTTTTTCCAATGATCGTGACTGATGATTGGTAAACTTTACCTATATTTCTTGATTTCTTCTAAATGACAGGAAGCCATGGAATAATTTCACGTTGTGTCTAGTTTCAGTACAATCTTTGATCCAGATAAGCCTTTTGATAATAATTCGCTATAAGGGTTACTTTTGGGGCGTGTGTATCATAAAATGATCCTCATGATCCTATTCATGACATGGCGCGGCCCCTATAATGACTCACTTTGATTTTTCACCTGCAGTATACGTACCTTGCTATAATCATCAAAGGTTTTTCCTCATGTTTTACCACAAGTAGCCAAAATTTCATCAGACTCTCAACATTCCCGTTTGTAAATCTTAAGTTTACATACCCGTCCCAAAGTGAAGAGAAAGATTTACTTTGGCACGCAAGTTATATTTTTTTAAATGCGCCCTTTTAAAATGCGCCATAAATACGAAAATAATTTTCCGGAAAACGTGTAGTTTGTTTAATTTGCGAGTGGAGAATGGAGATAATAATAGGTAATCAAAAATTCTTGAATGGTTACATGGAAATATCCGAGATTTGTTCAAGTGCCAAACGCCACGTTACGGTGGGCAGGGACATCCGGGATTTTTGTTTGCATTGGCTTATAGGCCCTATAATGGGGAGGGATTTCGTGAAAAGGGCACTCGCACATCCGTGCTGAAATGTAGACAGTTTTTTTTCTCCTAAATCTCAGTTGGCCTCGGTAAAATCAAAGGGGGAGGGGCTGGGGTGCTGGTGCCATCATCCAATGGGGGCGCTGTTCAAACCGGGCGATCATGCACACAGCGTACTATCGGACTAAAAGGTGGCGTGTTACACCAAACATTATATATGAAAGTAATAGTGCCAGTATTTAGCTGAATAAATTTGAAGCTTGCTAACAGGGGCGGCGGAACCGGGGGGGGGGCGTTTGATTGTCCCAAGTTTGATTTTCCCAAGTGCCCCTTTTGCGGCCATAAATGTGCCCCCTCGAGCATTTAAGTGTCCCTCGTGATAAATAAAAAATGCCCTTAAAAGTATCTTACTATTTCGTAGAAGTAACCATTTCCCAATAATGGTAGAGATATTTTTGATATAAAACGAGGAATATGAAAACCAAGTCCCAAAACCCATACAAGACGCCCTGAAAATGGGCACATAATGTATGTTTAGCATATAATCATTGGTTTTGAAGAGCGCCCCCTATGTTGGAAGATGGTACCAGCCCTCCCCCTCCCCCCCCCCCCACCCACCCACCCACCCACCCACCCACCACCCACCCACCCATTCTATTACTTGTCAATTGGCAATTGCCCAGGGTGAAAAACCAGAGGAGGAGTAGTAGACACCCTGCCCAATATCTATCCGACCTTGATTATGCAGATGACATTAGTCTGCTTGCTGACACCCTCCTTGATGCCGAATCTCTCCTCCATAAAGTAGAAGCTTGCTGCAAGTCCGTTGGTCTCTCTGTTAATGTAA